TAATGTTGTGATATTATCAACGATGTGTGCAAACTCCCAGCGTGTTGACAGCTTGTCAAGAGTTGGAAAAACAATCAGGCCAGGGCTGGGATGACTTCGACTTCGAGGAGTCCGTGCCCAAAGCGGCCGTGCCTTGCTCCGTCTACTTGTAGCTGTAGCTGGGTCGATTGCAGCCATATCAACAGGTCTCCTGCTAAAGGCATTCTTGGATCTGATTCTCAGGGCCGCAACAGATGTATGCGGGTAGTTTTGGGCTTGGTTCTGCTCCTTTGTGGAGTTGCGGGGTTTGCGGTTGCAGTGTGGTGAAGCATGAAGAGTTTCGGAATCTTGGGTTTCTGTCATTTTGTGTTCAAAGTCCTCATGCCTGCATGCTACAAGCCAAGGAGCCCAAAGCGAAGGCTGCAGTGGCATCCGCTGACAGTGAAGGCAGTCCGACCATCACGAGCAGTGGACATGTCCCCGGCACTTTAGCACCCCCAACCAGTGGTTGTCAATAGGTGGCAAAAACAGGTCCCAGCCTTTGACAATCAGGCCAGGGCTGGGATGACTTCGACTTCGAGGAGCCCGTGCCCAAAGCGGCGGTGCCTTGCCCGGCCGTTTATGTAAGACGAACCTCAGCATTGGCTTCGATGGGTGTTGATTCATATACAGGACAAGCTGTCAGGAAAGCGTCCAGCAGGGTTTTTTTGTTACGAGATTCTGCTTCACGTGAGCCAAGTTCAAGGAGCCCACGATGACGGCACCCACGGCGATCCATGAGCCGGCCGAGAGCGGAGGCACCCAGAGCAGAAGATGAAGTCATTGCATGACCTTTGCACACAACAAAGTGGCAAGACGGCCAGGCCAACCTAAACACTGCGACTGCGACTATGGCCAGGACCACAACCACAAGAAGAACAAGAACCAGCAACCAGCAAGCAGCAACCACAACAACAACAGCAAGAGGCGTGCGCGTCTGCCGCCGTGCAGGGTGTATGGTTCGAGATTGTACAACTTCTTTCAGAAATGGTTTTCGACAACAAAGCTTTTCCGTGCAGAAGGCGATGTTTTGCGGAGTGTATTGTTAGTGTTTCTGCTATGTTTTTTGGAGTGTGTTTAGGAAGTGTCGCGAATGCCGCGGTTGTGCTGATGTTGTTGTTTGACTTGTTGGCGTGTTGTTGAAGTTTATTGTGGAGGACCCGCGGGGCTCGAGACTCTTCTCGTGCGACCGTTGCAGACACAACCCCAAAATTGTGTGATTTCGCGCGTTTGATATTCAGCGAATGCAGGATGCAGGGTCGCATTCAGCTCAGCAGCAAGAGAAGCCAACAGCGCGACATAAAAAGCCTAGTCTCTAGACTAGGTGACTAAGTCACCTAGTCTAGAGACTAGAGGGTTTCTTGAAACCAACAACACATTCATCGCCAGGACCTCCTCCTCATTATCATCATCAGCAGCATCGCCATTGTCGCAGTCATCCGCATCATCGTCATCATCATCATCATCGTCATACCATTACCGGTATTAACGGACTCCGAGCAATATCAAAGAAACAGACCTGCAACTCTAGCGAGCCAGAGTCGAAACGCAAGGCGGAGTGGCGTGGTGGGTGAGTCACGTCATCCCTATTGGACAGCTATCAGCTTTTATCATTTCATTGCCATCACCGGCACAGCAAATATCACGTCATGCTCATCTTCATTTCATTGCCATCACCAGCACAGGAAATCTGGGTCGTGTTTGAAACCCACCATGCATCATGTGAGTCCTTTTGCAACCCCGCCATTCACCATGCGAGCAGTATGTTTGCACACAGGGGAGCTTGCTTGACAGCATATGAGATTTTTTGAAACCAACCATTCGAGCATTGCTTTTGCAACTGGGGCGGGCTGCGCCCCCAACCCCCCTGCTGTCTTAAGCCGTGTGCAAGCTTGCTCAACAGCCTCTGAGTCGTTTTTGAAGCCCACCATGCATAATAAGAGTCTTTTTGAAACCCCGCTATTCACGATGCGAGCAGTATGTTTGCAAACACGAGGGGGCTGACCCTTAAAAGCCACCCTTTCAATCTCTCGAAAGCAAAGCCGCCAAAACCCTGGCAAACCCGCTGAAGCTGTTCAAAACACTCCAAAGTCGTTGAAAACCCTCTCAAACCCTCTAAAATCGAAAAGGGCACTCTAAAACATTCTAAAGTCGTCGCACAGCCCTCTCAAACCATCAAAAAGCCTCTTAAAACCCCACGAAAACCCTTTAAAACCCTGGAAAACCATTTAAAACCCTCAAACAGGGCAGATCCGCACCAACACAAAAAAAAGGGAATCAAAACATCTCCACCCTCCTCAGAGACAACAGCGCATCCGAATTCAGAGCAAAACCAGGGAACTGAACATCACTACAGATGCCGATGCAAAAGGCATGCGAACGTGAACAGAAACTCGAGGAAATCAATAGCCGGAAACACTGTAAACAAAGCCATCGCAATAAAATGCGTTGAAACTGCATCGTGCCAAATCTCGAGTTTTGAGGCATCGCAGGCTTGAAATCGAGAGTCCCTTCGCGGTGGCGTGTCCCTGCTGCCAAGAAAAAGAACAACAACAAGACATACGAAAAACAAGAACAGCGGCAACAACAGCAACAGCGGGTGGTGAACAAGGTCAGAACCTGCTTTTCAGTCGCTTACATGTTTGATGGTGCTTCTTAGATAGCTTCCTCTTCCAAGCCTTACTAATTTTTTTCGATGCCGGAATGATCATTGGTGTTCCTTAGCCTGTCAGAAAGCTGGGTGTGCTCAACAGAGCAGTTGTGATGTTTCCTGTGCCTTCTGCTTCTTCGTCCTCACCCGACACGTTTGTTGCTGTTTTGAGGTGCGGATGGATGGGAAGATATGGACTTCGACATTAAAGACACAAACACGACTGCTACGGAAGCTCGGTGTTCTTTGATGGCCATCGTTGCAATACAACAAGAGGCATGAGTGCAATGCTCGTGATCGTATGGGCGGCAGTGCTGAGCAGGTGCCCGATATTTTCATGGGGGTCAGGTTGGATCCTGAGTCATCTGGATTGCCTCGCCGAGGCAAGCCATGATTGCTCATCGATGCAGGCGGTGTCCATGTTCTCCACAGCCCAGGCCTCATTATAGATTCCAGAGCTTGTTGAATTGAAAACTAGGCTTTTTCAGAGACCGAGCGGTAGAGAAACTAAGGCCACGAGGCTATTCGGAAGCTTGGCAGATCTTGGCAGGTGTGCGTGTTATGATGGATACACCCCGATGTCTTTTCCGGTGGGCCAGGTGGGTGGAATAGCTGCTAAAATCTTGCTCCAGTTGTCTCGCATCTGCCTCTCAGAGCTGCTCATGCACATATTAGTCCGTTAAAGAGGAGGACACGACTTTCATCATGAATAGCTTCCCATGATTCATTCGAACCACGGCTCCGACGCTTCGAGGCACTGCCACGAGCATGGCTCAAGCAGCTCGTGCGGCGGCGGAGTCGACCTGGGCCTCCCATGAAGAAGCGCAAGGAGCACGGCTCAAGGAAGGCGAGTTTTGATGAGGTTGTGGCTTTGCGTAGAATGATCGGAATGGGCTTCCACAAAGAAACGCATCGGCGCTCTCCGACAGGAGTTGTTCGGCAAAGCTCTGGGGAGTCCGTTTTCTTGTGCATGTGCCGAAGGTGTCGCCCCCATCTCATTTGCAGACGGCGATGCCGCAGGCAACGATGCACTGCCAGTGCAGAACGTGAAATCGGCGGTTCTCAAGTATTGAATCTGGCATTTCAATCAACGCCTCTTCAGGTGCAGCATCAGCTGCGTCACAGAAGCGCATGGAGGAAGAGCTGGAGGCTTGCGCTTCGCAGAGGGCGAGGGTTGAGGACCTTCAGGGCATGCGCGACGTTGAAGATTTGCGAGTACGACTGAAACTTGTGTTTTGACTTACGACCTTTCGGTGCGCGGGCTCACGACGTGAGCTGCTTGTTATCACGCCACATGTTGGGCAGGTGCTGAAAGCTCGACTGACAGTGGCGCAAGATCAGCTGAAGGCAATTGCCGGGGTGCGACGGCAACTGCCCCCAAGACCTTCTGAGGGTGAGTTCCGAGACAAGTAACATGTTGCCCCGTGTAGGGCCGTGTAGGGCCCCGTTCCAGCACATCAGCCGTCACTACCCCATGGATTCCTCACATGATGCAGGCAGAGCGTGCAGCACATTCGCAAAGTGCCGCGAAGGCACGGATTGGACCGCAAGGGGACTGTCGCACCCAGGGGCAGGCCACACCGAAGCATGGACGCGAAGGATCGAAGAACCCGTGCGAAACAGGTCGCAGCGCGACAGCTCAAACCCTAATCCAAACTGCAGCAGTGCAAAAGGTGATCCCCCCATTCTGACAAAGCCCGAAAACATCCGTGTTCAGGCCCTTAGTGGCGAGGTGGCTGCACTCTCCGAGGTTGCGAAGCTCACTAGACATGTTACGGTTATCAGCGAAGGGCGTCTTTTCAAAGTGGAGGTCTTGAGGAAGCTTAACTGTGCAAGGGTGCCGTGCATAAGAGATTTCATGCGAGGTGGTTTCAAGGTCGCCGTTGAATGCCAACAGCACTCCGAGTTTCTAGTTGTTCTAGTTGCCTTGCAACTATGTGAATGAGCTCTTGTACCCAGGTCAGGTCGTGCTTCGGAAGGCTAGGTCCGATACATCTGAACTTTGTAGCAATGTCTGGCTGCGTGTAGTCTGCATGTTTCGCAGAAGATACCAATACAGATATCGATCACCGAACACAGACATGGGGACCTGGCCCTGCAGAGTTGCACTTGTCCGCTGAGTGTGCAAACTACACGATCACTGTCGCTGCTCTCTGCAACTCCGAAGGCCCTCATCCGCGAGAGGCAGGAGTTCGAACGGGAGAAGGCCGCACATGTGTCAGCACGACGAAGGTAGACAGGTGTGGGGAGACCCGCAGTTTGCCCTTGCTGAAGGTCCAGCTTGGCAAGCACCTGCGGGGAGCGAGATGCTCAGATATCATTGAACGCAGCAGTACCTGGAAACAAGACCCTTGAAGGGCTTTCTTCAGCTTGGTACTTGTAGCTTCCGGCGATTGGTTTATCTTCGCAGTTCCTCGAGGCGAAGGAAGACGTGCAGCAAGCTCCAGACGAGGCGGCTTACAAGTCTGTAGCGGCCGAGGAGGCTGAAGCCCAAACTGGGATCCGAACGCGAAACGCCCCGACTCCTGCAGTAGTCCTAGAGTCCTAGAGGGAATACTCGCTACCTTGTTGGCTTGATCTCAGGGACTCCCCACTGCCAGGGGAATGGGGACCTCACTGAGCAGATGATGGAGCTCCGTCGGCAGCGCGATCAGGCCTCGAGCTTCTTTTTCGAGACTTTGACTGCGTGCTAATCACCCATGGCTGCTAGTCCCGATGCCCGAAACCCAAAAGATTCCTGGTGGGAAAGAGCCAAGTTCGGCGTTCTAAAACAAGAGAGATGGTTTTCCGAGATCCTCAAGGTTTGAAAAGTCTTGTATGACAACGGATGGTTGCTGATGCATTGCATACCACTGCAGCCAGGAGGTTTCTACCACGGAGTGTAATTATATGTGCTTGTATCACTTGGTCGAACCTGTGTGGGCGGGCGACCAGTGCACAGACGACATTCAACCCCGAGTCCAGAGCAACGATCTTAGCTGCCAACCGCACGTAGTCACGTACCCCGATTCGGAATGTCATGACGCATGCATGTGTGCTGCTTTGGCTCAAGCACTGCCAGCCACAGCTTGACCACTGCAGCAGACGCTGAGGCCGCGACATGAAATACGCCGGAGGGGGACGAGCTGTGGTGAAGGGTGACATGTTTGCCTGAACCTGTCTGGTGCCATGTATCAGCATAGAATCCAAAAGAGCTCAAACACTGGTCAGGCGCTCGGGGGTAGCCTGGTTCCTAACTTGTCCTAAATGAAGTTCTCCAGCAGGAGCCCGGGACCAGTGCAAACAAAGGGATACACCGGGTTCACACAAGATCCGAGAAGAGAAGACTCCTGAGGTCCTGATTCCGATGCAACTTCTCCACACCTTCCAAATGCTGACATTAAACTTGCCATCCCAACCTCGGCGACTCTGCCCAATGAAGTCCGGGTGCGGGAGTCCAAAAACGAAAGCTGAACCGCACAGGCTCGCATGAACCTGGCGCCTGGATGTACAGGTTCCTAGTTCTGGCGAATACCGCTCCGAGCTGCTCGATCCAGGATGCTGCAAGGATTGAAGGTCTCGTTGTGGTCGAGAGGTTTGGCGCCTTCAGGTTACGAGCAGCTGAAGAACTGCGCGCGAATTCCATGTTTTGTTACACCCTGTTACACCCACCCATCCACGAAGCCAGAAAAAAGCTTGGAGGAACGAACCATTCTGTCGGTCGTTTTCACTCCCTTTAGCCTGGGCAGGGAGGCATTTGCTTTGGTGCAGTAACCCTGGAGTGCATCTACTACTGCTGGCTTCATGGTCCTCCCGTCTCGAACCAACACCAGCATGAACGCCTGTTGACTGCGTTACTGTGCTTGTAATTTCCAGCTTCCGGTGTTGCAAGGCTGACCGGTCATTCACAGCAGTTGTTTTTGTTCCAAGTGTGGTTGTGTGACACGTGTGCGTGTATATGTGTGTGTGTGTGTCTCTGTGGGTTTGCGTCTTTGAGTTTGCGTGCGTGCGTGGGTGAATGGGTGGGGGGTGGGGGGGTGTGTGGGTGTGTGAATGTGACCCCAGCTACGACAAGAATGACAAGAGCTGACTAGCCATAATTGTCTAGAATCGATTAATGAATAGTCTTATGTTCAGCAACTTATGCAGTGTGCCAAGGAGGTATGGAAAGTTGTTTCTCCTCCACGGTTCTGAGGGCCTTCTCACCTCCAGTTGCTGGTATCTGATATGTTCATCGTTCCGTCCTGCCGGGTGCGAACATGAGGATCCGTTTCTACCCCCTCATTGTCTGAAACCCCCAATTATCACAGCGGTTTTGGGCAGTCACCGAGGCGAGCAGCTGAAGCTGATCGGTGGTGCCACGGCCGTAGGTGGATGGGAATTGCCGAAGGCAGGGAGTTTGCAGGATTCGGGTTGGAGGGTGCTTGCGATGGGCGTGATGACGGATCAGTTTAGCTAAAAAATGGGAATGCCAAATCGCGAAATCCATGCATAGGTATACATATATACATACAAATATACAAAGACATAACATACATGCATACACACATAAATACATACATACATACATACATACGTACATACATATGTACGTTATTCTTGCTTAGACTGCCTTTGCAGGCCATCGAGCTTTTCCCCGTCCACGGCGGAACGGCAGATGAGCTAGGCTTGCGCCGGTGCACCGCCCGGAACAACTGTTCTTTGCGCATATATGTGTATAATTCCTCGCAGGCTTTTTGTGTCCCTGCTGGCTTAATTTATTTGTTGCTGGCTATCTAGCTGCTTGTCTATGTGCCTCTCCAGCATGCATGCCTACGTGCATGCATGTGTGAATGTTGTTGTTGTTCGTTTCTTTTCTGCATGCCATGTTTATAGATCTGGTTGGTCTGGTCCAGTGCCTTTTGAGCTCCGATCGTGCACACATTGCACATCCCCCACGAGTTGGCTGTGATCTTCTTCAGCACCAGTCGGTACCCCAGTCGGCAGCAAGGTGGACGGCTACAGTCAACTTGAGCGACCACGGTCTCCCGGCTCAAAAAAGAAAGAATTCATTCGTCTTGAAGGGCACATGAAGCCGGGCCGTGCAGATGAACGTGTGCGAGCGCTTTGCAGCTTTGCCTTTGTCCTACTTTGCTAAGGCCATCGGTACTTCGAGCACCTTGTCGCGCAAGTGGGATTGGAGGCATGCGCGATGGAGCAGCTGAGGTAAGATATCCAGCCCAGCATTCTCCTGCGCAGAGCGTAGAGCGCAAGCAAGCTGAGGTATAAGTACATCAAGCTCGGAGAGGACCGTATTCATATTGTGCCAAGATTTCCAATGGATGTTCAACACTTCTGTTTGCCATGTGCATGGTGCATGTCGGCGGGTAAGCTGCCAACCTGACAAAGTCACGAAGCCACTGTAGCTATTTCGGAACTTGCAGCCGCTGTCTTTTTTAATCAGATTTCGAAGGCCTTGTGGTCCGATACATCAGCAGTTAGGACAGCTACATACAGTTCAGGGATGTTATTGTAGAAGCATGCATGTCGAGGATTCCTCCCTCGCGTTATACACATGGCATACCGTTCGCAGGGTCATTTTGTACGTTGCAGGCGCAACGGAAATGCGCAACAAAGCCTTGGAGTCTTGTAGGCAGCACTGCTTTCAGCCAAGCCTTAGTTTGGTAAGGGTGCAGCCGAATCATGTCAGTACATGCCCCCGAAAGCCTGACAAAGCGTTTTTGTTCTAATAAAGCAATCCGATACTCTTTTAACAGTCCGAGACATGTTCGCATGCACGTGGTGCATGTGTTCATAAAATTTAACTTGCCGACAGATATTTGCAATGAACCGGCACAGCACAATGCACATTTTTCGGCAGAATTCGGCAGAAGGTTCCACAAGCCAGTCAGATGAAAGCGCTCACCACAGAAAAGCATTGTTGGTGAGTGTACTGTAGTTGCGTCTTTTTTGTCGGGGTTGAGTGCTTTACAAAAGTGCGGTGTTCGAGTGTCGCTGACCGCAACCTGGCAGCATGTGAACCATTCCATCATTCTTCATCAGTCTGGCGATTAGGATCGTCGAGATTATTACGCTTCTCCGAGTATGACTGGTCAATGCTCAAGCCGCAGAGTGTGTCTATTTCCCTGGCCAAGTGGAGGATGGCTCAGTGGAGTGGGAGGACACGCCGTTCAATCGCAATCTCATGGCAGTGCCAGGCTCGCTCTCCCCCCGTGCTGTCGCCCACACTGCATCATCCTACTGCAATCTAGCAAGCTGCGACATCTCGTGCACCACGTACTGCTCCGTCCTCAGGACTTGCCGCTCCATGCCGCACTGTTTGTTCCATTATATACCACTACAGACAGGATGGCCCACACTGTCACATGGCACGCTTGGCAGCAGGTGTCGACTTCGACGTTGATGACGGCTTCTCGGCTTTGTGCTATACCGTTGAATTTATGGTCACTTGTTTTCCGAGCCTGAACCAAGTAAGAAGTAGCCCAGCATCGAGTCGCAGATCATGTTTTGGAAGGATATGGAAGTTTGAACATGGGCAGCGCACACAGTTTGCTGCCACCTCATGCCTCCTTGTGCATGGTGTTTACGTGTCAGCCGGCAAGATCTCAGGAGAGTTCGGCAAGCTTCCATTGCCTCCCGATTTGTACCTTGGATTTTCAGGTGCCTGAAGCTCACTGGCCACTGCACAGCAGCTTGATGCCAACCCCAATGGCCCGAGTGATGTCCAAGGCCTGGCCCACGAAGCCCGGGGATCCCTGCGCCACAGCCAGGCACAAAAGAAGTCGTCATCAGCATTTGCAAGAAGAGCAGCATTGGCAGGTAGTTGATCCACTTTGAGTCTGGATTCCGGGGACGACTTGTAGCCCAAACGGAGGAATGACGATACGTTCTCGGCCGTTTCTTCTGGAATCACCACGGCCAGGCGGCTTGCGGGTAGCCATTTGCGGCAGCTCAGTCGCTGCAGGGGCCCACGCAGAAGAGGCGCTACGGTGGTTGTGCCTTTTGCTAAGAGGGGATCTGTCGCGGAGGCTTCGTTGTGATAGCTGTAGAAGTCAGAACATTCTTCCTCACCTCGACGGTCATGCTGGCTTTTCTTAATTATGCTGGTGCAGGCTATGGTGGTGATCAAGATGATGCAGTTTTTAGTCTTCTGTAGTCGCACCATTGCCTTTATTGCCATCACTACTCCGCAGATCTCCGCTAGGGTATTGCACATCTTTTCAGCTTTCGGGAGTGGTAATTGTTTTACTTCAGCTGTACTTCACTTTTTGGAAGAGTGCAGCACGGGTGAGTTGCTTGTGTGCAAATCAGGCTGAGACCTGGGAAGCTGGACCAGTCCTGGGGTTATTCCAGGGGGTCGTTCGGGGTAGATGGCTGGGACTTTTTTCAGGCCTTTGCCAGCTTCGGGAGATTGACGGCTTCGCAAGATCCCCTTCTTTAATGGTTGATAGTTGGGGGGTGGTCTTTTTTGAACTCGGAGCTTGTGAAGGGCCTTGATCTTCCTAATTCGAGTCCTTAGTCCAGTTAACGCCCTGCAGTGCGACTTTGTCAGCTGGGCGGGTGGGAAAATCTCCGCAGCTTAAATGAAGAAAAGCATACGAGCAACGGTTTTGATGACTAGCATTGTTGCCATGTTGTTGAGGATCAAGGATGGGCCTGGCTCCTGGCAAAGAGCTTGGAGGCTCAGTTCGGCCATCAGCCGCTATGCAGCGAGATGAGGATTAGAGGGCTTGGGATTTTCGGTGATGTCTGTTAGTAGATCATGCCTTGCTAGCTTTCCGGGAGCACTTCGACCAAGTGTGCAAGCGGATCACTTGCTGCAAGCTGAGGACGCTCAATGTCGCCGTGCATGGATCCTTGGGCAAAACTTGCCATGCAGCTCAGCCATCCGGCTTTTTGCTGAAGAGCTAGCCTGAGGCTACAACACTGAGCGTCTCCTGCAGGACTTCACGAGACGCATGGCACAAGTAGCGACTGTCGTGAAGACGAAGAGCATTTCTGGTAAATCTGCCACAGGTTGTCGGGCTCGTGAGGCATATTCAATGCATGTGTTTTGTCAGGTGCCGAGTGGGATCGCTTTTGATACTTTTTCGGGAAGGGCAATGCTCGAGAATCTCCAGGTTCTCAAATCTCGTACTTGATACTTGTTTTATACAATCTTGTAACGACACATTTGGCACATTCTTCGAGGATCTGGGGAATGATGAGAAGGCCTCCTGTCCTTACCTGACCTTCGGGCCTAACCTGAGCTGCCGAGGATTGGTGGCCTCGCAGAAGCCAGACATGGAGCCCTGCAACAAATGATTTCTAAGAATAGCGTTCGAAATTGTTCGTGTTCTGAACGGGTGCTCGTGGAGCTTCGCCTTGTGGACAAGTGATGGGCAGTGACGGCACACATAGGCATCTTAAGATTATCTTAGGTGTTGTTTTGATAGCTGAGGTGGTGATCTCTCTAAGCTTGGCAAACGAGGGGCTCTCCTGGAAAGAGGAGGATGAGTGGGATGCGGTTGCTGCCAGCTTCAAGAATGGCATCCGAACCTTTGCATGCAGCCATCGATGGGCAATGTGTCGCATTGCAGCATATGCCCCCAACAACATTGCACTCTTGGCATGTGAAACTGCTGCCTCTTTGTGCCGAGTTTGCAATCGCGTGCCGGGGACGACAAGATTTCGACAAATCTCAACCTTGAGTTGAAGGGGAGGGCCGTCGATAGCTTGGCACATCCCCATGCACTGCCAAGGAGAGTTGTTACGCGAAACTGAGAAGATCGGAGCGACAGCGGTGCTGGGCGGAGTTTACCCAAATGGGGACTACAAGCACCCGAAGCAACTGGTCCTGCTGCAGGCAGGGCATGGCAGGGCGATGAAGTTGAGAAAGGGATTTGCTCCGCTCGGGGATGTCGCAGCCTTGCCCACTTTGCCTGCATTTCAGCCGAAGTGCCACTGGTGCTGTCGAGACAACGCTTGTGATCATCTGGTTCTGCTAATATTGGGATGTTGTGCAAACCCCAAATGTGCGTTTTAATTGCGTGCGGGAATGCGTTTGGGAGTCCGTGTCGAATGCATGTGCGTTTTGGATGCGTTTTGGATGCGTTGTTTTTTTGTCGGGGAATCCAATGGGGAATCCGTTGGGGGATCTGTTTGGCCCCGGCCCAAACGGACACCCCAACGGATCCCCCAACGGAAAAAAACAAACGCACTTGTCCTAGGAAAAGTGCGTTTTTTTTTCCGTTGGGAGATCCGTCGTGGAATCCGTTGGGCGATCCGTTTGGCCCCGGCCCAAACGGACATCCCAACGGAAAAATTACGCACTTTTCCTAGGAAATGTGCGTTTTTTTTTCCGTTGGGGGATCCGTCGGGGAATCCGTTGGGGGATCCGTTTGGCCCCGGCCCAAACGGACACCCCAACGGATCCCCCAACGGAAAGAAAAAGCACTTTTCCTAGGAAAAGTGCATTTTTTTTCCGTTGGGGGATCCGTGGTGGAATCCGTTGGGGGATCCGTTTGGCTCCGGCCCAAACGGATACCCCAACGGATCCCCCAACGGAAAAAAACAAACGCACTTTTCCTAGGAAAAGTGCCGTTTTTTTTCTGTTGGGGGATCCGTCGGGGAATCCGTTGGGG